TGCAGCAGACTATACGGGTTGTCCAATCGGTGCTCAATTTTTAACTTTTCATTCGCAATCGTACTGCTTTTGAAGAAAGTGACGATGATCTTACATTTTTTTCAGTTTGAGAAATTGCCTCCGAACCGTTGAGAGCATCTTGCACAAGTAGGTTCAGTCTGTGAGCAACACACGGCATGTGGAGTTTTTTTAGTAGGTTGCGTGCACATATCATTTCATTTGCGTCCCAGAAAACATTGAGGTTAGTTATCGATTAGATAATGATTGGAGAACTAGCCACATTCTCCAATCTCAAACGTTTGAGATCGACTCGAAAAACTATCGAGAATCATATAAATCTGAACAAAAAATGGGACATAGTTCTCGACTCGAGAAAATATAAATTCTCTAATCGAATTCTAATGTTGATCTCTAATGGGACTCGAATTTGAATTTCAAACTGCTATTTTGCTTTATTAAATAAAACGCTTTGTTTGTAAAATGTTTATTAAATGTATTTGCAATAAAATAATAATGAATTATTTGAACTTAAAAAAAATTATGATTCATTCTTTTGGAATATTGCTTATTTACACTTATTTGAATTTTCGTTGTTTCTCTAATCGTTCTTGAATCGAATTCTAATGTAGTTCTCTAACTTCGTCATCGACTCGAGAACGATTAGAGAAATACCCTAGTTATCTAATGTAGAAATCCAAATTTCTCTAACGTTAGAGACTGTGTTTGCTGGGGTTATCAGTGACAATGCAGCTGAATTTTTCGAAATTAGACCAGCTCCTTAAAACGAATTTCAATGAGTTCGAAATGTTGCTTGCGGAATGATTGGTCAACTCATAAAGCTTGTTTGTAGATAAAACCGCTGACCTCAGCACAAAATTATCATCAATAAAATAACAAGTGACGGTTATATATAACTTTCGTTGGCCAAAAAAGTCTAGCCATTGCAAGGTATGATAACGTGATGCTTATCCGACAGAATTGCTTTCAATTTTTGCTTAGCCAAATTATACCGCTTATATAACAAATCGTTATTCATAGTTTTTGCGCTTGGCATTACATACCTTGGGTCTAAAACGCGAACCAAGTGTTTAAAGCCTTTATTTTCAACAACATTTAAAAGCTCATAATCCTCCGCTACCATTTTAGCTAAAGCGCAATCGATGACTTGCTTTCTTTTCGAGGTTTTGTCATATTCCTCAGCTCGTGTGAAATACGATACAACAGATCTCATACTAGACTGCCGGCTACTAGACGCTTCATCCACGTCCCAATCCCCGCTCCTCACATTTGAACAAAACCGTTTTAAATAGTCCCTTAAATTGCTGGTATTTCCGCTCGTTTTGTACTCCTTTTTCGTTGTTAAGCACTTTGCGTATTTTTTGTCGTTTCACTTAGCGAAGTAGTTCCAAACCTGCACGTAAAAATATATTCCCAATTACCATTTATATATGCATGCTATACATTTTTAGCTCAATTAACATTTTCAGCTAAAACCCTTGGAAATTCTTATTTTTCGTTTGGTCTGCTTTTCGTGGCACTCTCCGTAGAATCACACGAACAGTTGCTGCTGTTAACAAGATCTTCTGCATGTGAAATAAACTAATAGATATTCTAAACTTCATTTTAATATTTTCTTATTTGATTACACATACTTACCTTTTTTGTTTCGCTTTATATATTTATCCATTTTCAATTTCATTCGTAGGCATACATATGTATCAACCCTACACCGAACGTACGCAATTCCAATTTCTCAAATTTAAGACGGTTCCTTGAATTATTTCTGACACTTTCAAATTAACGAGTTCAAAAATGTCGATAGTTAAACGATAGTCTACACTAGGGATGCACAGCAGAGGTGCACGCAGTCGACTTCGCGGGCAAACTGCGCGAGCGTGCTAGGCGAGGTGAAGTGAGCTGTACGTAGGGATGCAAATTTTCAAAGCCAACATCGATACATCGATATTTCGATGTATCGTAAACACTAACATCGATGCCGAAAAAAATCGCTCCAAAACTATCGATACATCGATATTTTCCGATGTTTCTCTTTTTTAATAAGTATGTTACAGGTACTTCATGATTTGCAGGTTTTTACGTGTTTACAGGAAGCTGTTAACGTACGCCACCTTCCATAAGGCGAAAACCGCTTTACCTGTAAAACCTGGAAGTCGAAGACCCCCCTGCCCCTACCTGGCTACGCCCATGCCTGGAACTGACTTAATGCTTGTTAAAATTTTAAGAAAAACCTAGTGTCCATCTAAACTGCTACACTGTTAACATTTCAATGGTTGGTTTTTTGAATTTAATTAGATTTCCTTCCAATGTCATAATAGATTTGCTGTTTACGCGCAGATAATACTTACACTCACCTTAAGTCGTGTTGAAATACTGTAACTACGTCATGGAAATCGCCTATGTTCAACGTTGCCAATTGCTTTTATTAAGTGCAGGGCTGCCATCACCCGTAATACGCTTACCCAAAGGGCTCTGTCCCACGGTCAGTAATTATCACGATATTTGGATCGCGATCCATATTGATGGATTGATGGATCGCGCATGAATGCTACATGTTCAATATTTAGCGCGTCTTTATTTGCATATTTTTTTTGCTGGACGCTTATTATGACGCAAGCAAATATTTTTATTTTGTACGTATAATGTACAGATAATGCATTTATTATTTATGACAATTATTTTAAGATTTGTTCAATTTGTTTTGAAAGATTTTAAGCCCCGAGAGTGAAGGCAGAGCCGATGTTTACATTATGAGATTAAAAGATGTACTAAAGAAATGTATGGATCGCGTTTTGAAAGTGCTACACGTTCAATATTTATTGACGGTATTGCGATCCGCGATCCAGATTTCAAAATTTTTAGAAATTTTGCGATATGGATCACGATCCATCAATACTGCATACTACACCGTCAAAAAATATCGCGATACTTGGATCACGTCAATAAATACTGACCGTGTGACAGAGCCCAAAGAATATAACATAAAGATGTGAACGCAATGGTAATTTTGAACCGAAACTAAAGTCGATGTTTAAAACATCGTTAAAATTGACATCGATATATCGCCAATTTTACGATGTTGAGTAATTTTCAAATATCGATGGTAAACATCGGTTTTTTGGCCGATGTTATCGATGTTTCAAAAATATCGATGCATCGTTTGCATCCCTAGCTGTACGGAGATGGCATATACATAATAACCACTACACACATATTTTCAAGTAAAAATGCGTGTGTGGATGTGTACTTTTGCGACAACTGAGCCAGTGTGGCATCAGGCCACCAGAAAAAGCCAATTTTTCCAAAACAAAAGCGCCAAGTTTTTATTATCATGTTTAATAATTTTTTTGATTCAGTAAAAAGTGTATATACATATCCATTTCCTCACGTTTTTATTAATAAATTAATTTCAATACATTTATAACAACGCAAAACATATTTAATTTACCTATTCCTCACATTTTATTCAGTAAATGAATTCCTTCTTAATGTAGAATATTAGTGTATAGTGTATACATACATACATATGTACCTATGCATTCGGTGTGCTTAAATTAAAAAAGCATCACTAAATACCGCACCAAGCATTGAATTCCAATTATTTTGGCTTTTTGGTTTCCCAAAAACACTAAATTTAGTGCAAAATTCACGACCTTGGCAACAGTGAGCTGAGCACATCAATCCTCACACAGTGATGCCAGACCAAGTATTGAGTAAATGCGCTATGTATATTTTTCTTTTAAAGCAAAAGTTCAAATTAGCGAGGGTATTGATTTTTGGTTCTTACATAGAACACTGATAAGATTCACAAACTTATCTTAGGACTTAATTAAAATAATCAACATTATTTGTTGACGAATTTATTTGTGTGCGTATGAAATAGTAGCTTATGTCGGTAGGCTGGCTTTAGTAAAATGTACCATTTCCTATATTCTTTAAACCACAAGGAATTTTTTTATGAAACTTTATACGAATATTGACTTGCTAGCATCGCCATTAACATTACCGTCTTTTACGTTTATTTTCCAAGAGTTCTTCAACGACTCGGCGCCAGTGAATCTTTCGCCATCGTATGCTGCGAATGGTTCATTATACTAAAGCCAGTCTTCCGACATAAGCTACTATTCTATACGAACACAGATATGTTATTATCGGTAAAAAATTGGGTACGCTCAAATCTGGCATCGCTGCAGTAAGTACAGCGCCAGTGAAACAGTGTTGATATTTTAAGTACAATGGTACTTTTTTCAGTACTATTAATTTTAAAATGTACAAAAATACAATTTGCCGATTTTAAGTACAATTTCAACATCAAAAATACTTTTTGTACCAAACGCTCAAATCTCTTCTAGCACTTTTATTCTTAATCCGTTTACATTTAATTAAATAACGAAATTATGAATTGTAATTTTGAATGTAAACGTGATTGTGAACAGTAATATTAGTGATGTGCGTTATGGTGATTGCGATTTCTTATCACCGGCGGGTGAAATATCCCTCATCGCTATTTATTTTGAAAAAATCTTTGGAAATGCAATTTACCTAATGGCGATCCTGCAGAAATAGAAGTAATTGAGCAATTCGGGGGTTGCAAGTAAGAAAATGTATGTAAATTCCATGCGTTGAAATTATAAATTTCCCTTGAGGATTTCCATTTTATCGATAGTGATCTCATTCATTTTGTGTTCATTAATATGAACTGACCTATATAGTGTATTAATGTTTTATCATCAATGTCTTCATCTTTGACAAAATTACACGGTCACCCGGTATTTATTTTATTTTTTTAAATAATTTTAATTATTTTTTTTTTGATGTATTATGGAACGAATTTCCGTCATCCCTTGTCAAATTTGGTT